TTCATCCCATAACCCCTTGCATACCTCCTCACGTCACCTCCACAGGCCAGTCCCCTGATGTGGTGCGGCAGCTGACCCCGGTGATCGAGCAGCTCCTGCCCATCTACACCGACATCGCCAAGGGCACCCGGGAATTTGTCCCCAGCCCGGCCGAGTGCAAGGACATGATCCGCGAAGGCAAGGGAGTTGATGGGGAAAGGATCTCAGTGGATCCCTGGAGGGCCTTTGGTGGCCATCCATGGTGGCGCTGTGGCGTCCCTGGCTCAAATTGTCCCGCTGGGCTCCTCCCAATACCTCCTCCCCTTCCCCTCCCTGTGCAGGCTATGGCGTGGAGCGCAACCTCCTGATTCGCTTCGCCAGCGACCCCATCGACGACACGCCGCAGCTGGCCGCCACGCTGGAGATGTCGAGCATCGCGGACTTGCTGGACCTGCAGCAGGTCACCCTGCCCGGCACGCATGTCAGGCCCCTCCAGCAGGTAAATGAAAGGGAGAGGGAGAGGTGCAAGGGGGGTGGGAAGGCGGCGATTGGGGAATTGGGGGGGTGCATAGCAGCAGGGTGACCTCCGGCAGACCCTCCTTTGCCCGATCTTGACATGCCAGCGCACGAATGTCGTTGACATGGACTTAGGAGGCTTCTGATACATGTCTTGCCCATAGATCAACCCCTCCCCCCCCCTCCCTCTAACAACAACAGGAGTTTGGCCGGCTGACATCAGATGTCGGCAAGTATGCGCAGGCGGCCCGCACGCAGAGCGAGGCGCTGATCGACCAGCTGGCGCAGATGGCGCGGGGGGCGGGCGTGCCCGCCGAGGCCACCGACGGGCTCAGCGGCTTCGCCCGCGCTGCCACGGGCTTTGCCGGCGCGTTCGGGGAGGCCATGCTTTCCAGCACGACAGAGCTGGACATCTCCAGCCTGGCCGACGAGTGCGGGGTCTTCATGGGCATCGTGGTACCCCCGCCGGCCACGGCTTTGGGGGTCAGCCCCGACGCGGGGCGTGCCGGTTTCACGCCCAGGACATGACCATGGAGGATGTAATGTAGTTCGACGGGGCGGGGCGGCGGCCTGTGGGGGATGCGGCGATTGAGTACCCAGGGCACAAATTGAGAGCTCACGGTGGTGGGAAGGGGAAGGCAGCCAACCAGAGTGGGAGCCTGGGGGAGAGGCCCCGTAATATCACACCCTGGTATGATGGCCCATACCGCAGCCATGCAAGGATCTCCTGTGGACGTTCCCAGGTCCTAAATTCGTGATGCGACAGCCATGCAAGGAGGGGTCGAGGGTGTGTCTCACAAGTGTGCTTGGGTGTGCATCCCGTTTTGCATTGTGTTCATGGACCCTGGCTGATCTGAGCGTCCACGGTTGGGCCAGCAGTGGGGCTGACTTGCCATCGTCTAGGTCGCTGCGCCATCCCTGCACCACCATATTTAAGTCGCACGTGCTCACCATCTCCATGTAGCGAGAGAGGCGACCGTCGACCCATGTTCTGGAGATCTAAGTTCCGTAACCATATCTCGTGAGTGACGGGCTGGTTCCCGCAACGTGGACGGACGCAGTTGGCCGGCATGCGAATTATGATAGAACCGTCCATGAATGCATTGTGGGTTGAGGTTCGGAGGTGTGGCGAGTGGGGTCGGGCATGGCATGATTCATTACAGCACTTTGGGGAGGAAGGTGGCCGGGTCGTTAATACCCCTGTCGAAAACGACTGAACATCCAACCTCGCGAATGCTAAATTCAATGCAAGAGAGCATTCGGTTGACTGTGACTGCAAAGCGCCACCAAAGTGTACTTTTACTGGAGTTGCTGCTCGAACCCCTTGCCTCCTGCGAGGCGCAGGCATGCGCAGTGCCAGCTTGTGCAGGGCTTCAAATATCTCATGGCTTCATTCGGTGACGACAAAAATGAGATTGGGAAACATCAATCCATGCCTGTACATAATTCGCAATGTTGCCAAGAACTGCCCTGTAACCATTCTCCTGCTGGCATGCCAATGTATGATGAAAACACTACCAGCAACGTATGCGGCGCACGAGTCGAAGATATGTCGCTACCGGGCTTGCGCCGGTTGCACAGCTGCTTCCCGCAAGCGGGATCTGACTGGCGCAGTTGGTTGCCTCGATCGGCGAACCAGGGGTGGGGGGGGGGGAGGAAAGGAAGGGGAAGCAGGGGGTCCACCAAAAGCTGTGGGACGAAGAGCCAGTTGCCCACGCCGACAATTGTAGTCATGCCGGGGGGAGCGCGGAACTGCTCCGCCAGCCGGGTGATTGCCCGCTGCCTGCCGACGTAGGCCTGGTGCCACAGCTTCCGGAACGGCTTCCCGTCCCGGTGCCAGGCCAGGCCACGCCGCAGGTCTGGGACGATCTTCACGACCCGCGACAGGAGCACCGCTGTGCTCGCTGTCTTGTAGGTCGGGCACCTACGGGAAGATGGTTTTGAGCAAGAGGGTTGGTGATACTGTTGGAGCGATGCGGGGTGTCGTGACACAGTGCCTGCCCCTGCAGGGCATACCCCTGCATACACTCCACAAACCAATCACCACTCACTGGTGCAGCTTCTGGACATCGGGTGGGGCCTTTGCGTGCCACTTCGCAATGACCCCCTCCCGCCGCTTTGACCCCGACATGGCGTGGAATTCCTTGGAGGAGCCGTTGGCGTGGTTGGCGTGTTCGTCCACCGCGGTGAACATCTTGGTCCGCCCGGGGTCGATGCCAACATACATGTGTATCTTGGCGTCCTCTGGCGGGCGGTCCCGCCTGCAAATTTTGTGTAGGGGGGGTGGTGGTATGGGGTGAGTCGTGTTGTGGGAGCGCGGCACGTGTGGGTGGTTGGCGGGTGAGCGGGTAGTTGCATACGGTAACGCACGTCGCTGCTGGTAAACAGCACACCC